TATTGAGGCTGCCGGTGCACAGCAGTCAAAAATTGGGGTTTGGGAATCTCCACTTAGATTTCAAAGGATGTATGAAAACTTCTGGATATCCAGGCAGAAGTTTGCTGCAGGGGTGGGTTCCTCATGGAGAACCTCTGTTAGGGCAGTGTGGAAGGAAATGTGGGGTCAGAGTCCCCACACAGAGTCCCTACAAGGACATTGCCTTGTGGAGCTGGAAGAAGAGGGCCACTATCTTCTAGATCCCAGAATAGTAGATCCACTGAGTGCTTGCACTGTGTGCCTGGAAAAGCCACAGACACTTAACACCAGCCCAAGAAAGCAGCCAGGAGGGAGGCTGTACCCTGCAAAGCCACAGGGGCGGAGCTTCCCAAGACCATGAAAACCCACCTCTTGCATCAGAGTGACCTGGAGGTGAGACATGGAGTCAAAGGACATCACTTTGGAGCTCGAAGATTTGACTGCCCAACTGGATTTCAGATTTGCATGGGGCCTGTAGCCCCTTGTTTTGACCAATATCTCCTATTTGGAACAGCTGTATTCCCCCAGTGCCTGTACCTCCATTGTATCTAAGAAGTAACTAACTCGCTTTTGATTTTACAGGCTCATAGGCAAAGGGATTTGCCTTGTCTCAGATAAGACGATGGACTGTGGACTTTTGCATTAATGCTGAAATGAGTTAAGTCTTTGGGTGACTATTGGGAAGGCATGATTGGTTTTGAAATGCGAGGACATGAGATTTGGCAGGGGGCGGGGTGGAATGTTATGGTTTGGCTGTGTCCCCACTCAAATCTCTTGTTGAATTTTCAAGTGTTGTGGGAGGGGACTGGTTGGAGGTAATTGAATCATGGGGCAGGTCTTTCCCATGCTGTTCTTGTGGTAGTGAATAAGTCTTACAAGATCTGATGGTTTTAAAAAAGGTAGTTTCTTTTCACAAGCTTTCTTCTCTTGTCTGCTGCCATGCTTTCACCTTTCATCATGACTGTGAGGAGGCCTTCCCAGCCATGTGCAACTGTAAGTTCAATAAATCTTTTTCTTGTGTTAATTGCCCAGTCTTGGGTATGTCTTGATCAGCATCATGAAAAAGGACCAACACAATGTCCAGAATGGTATTGCCTAGGTTGTGGTTCAGAGTTTTTATAGTTTTGGGTCTTACGTTTAAGTCTTTAATCCATCCTAAGTTGATTTTTGTATATGGTGTAAGGAAGGGGTCCAGTTTCAATCTTCTGCATATGATTAGTTAGTTATCCCAGCACCATTTATTGAATAGGGAATACTTTCCCCAATGCTTGTTTTCATCAGCTTTGTTGAAGATCAGATAGTTGTAGGTTTGTGGTCTTATTTCTGAGTTTTCTACTCTGTTCCATTGGTCTGTGTGTCTATTTTTGTACCAGTACTATGCTGTTTGCTTACTGTAGCCCTGTAGTATAGCTTGAAGTCAAGTAGGATGATGCCTCCATCTTTGTTCTTTCTGTTTAGGATTGAGTTGGCTATTTGGGCTCTGGTTTGGTTCCATATGAATTTTAAAATAGGGCTTTCTATTTCTGTGGAGAATGTCATTGGTAGTTTCATAGAAATAGCACTGAATCTATAAATTGCTTTGTACAGTATGGCTATTTTAATGATATTGATTATTTCTACCCATGAACATGGAGTGTTTTTCCATTTGTTTGTGTCACCTCTGATTTCTTTGAGCAGAGGTTTGTACTTCTCCTTGTAGAGATCCTTCACCTCCCTAGTTAGCTGTGTTCTTAGGTATTTTATTCTTTTTGTGGCATCTGGGAATGGGATTGTGCACCTGATTTGCCTCTCGGCTTGACTGTTGTTGGTGTATATGAGGGTGAGTAATTTTTTTATGTTGATTTTGTCCTGAGACTTTGCTGAAGTTGTTTATCAGCTTGAGGAGCTTTTGGGCAGAGACTGTGGGGTCTTCTAGGTATAGAATTATGCCATCTGCAAACAGGGATAGTTTGACTTCCTCTCTTCCTATTTGGATGCCCTTTATTTTTTTCTCTTGTGTGATTGCTCTGACCAGGACATCCAATACTATGTTGAATAGGTGTGGTAAGAGAGGACATCCTTGTCTTGTTCTGGTTTTCAGTGGAAATGCTTCCAGCTTTTGCCCATTCAGTATGATGTTGGGTGTGGGTTTGTCATAGATTGATCTTATTATCTTGAAGTATGTTCCTTCAATGCCTAGTTTATTGAGAGTTTTTAACATGAAGGGATGTTGAATTTTATCAAAAGACTTTTCTGCACCTACTGAGATAATCATGTGGTTTTTAGTTTTAGTTATGTTTATGTGATGATCACATTAATTGATTTGTGTATGTTGAACCAACCTTGCATCTCAGGAATAAACCCTACTTGATCATGGTAGATGTGTTTTTTGATGTCTTGTAAATCTTTCATTGGGTTTATTCCAATGTAATGTTTTTTGATGATAATGTAAATAATATAGTTATTCTTACTGTCATTTTCAAAATTGACACTTCTGGCCTAGAAATACACTTGATATTTTTACATTAAACTTAGATCCTGTGATCTTGGCAACTTAACATATTTGTTCTGAGAGTTTATCAATTCTTTTAGATTTTCTACATATACAATATGCTGTCTTCAAATAAAAAATAGTTTTACTTCTTATTTTCCAATATTTTTAACTTTTATTTATTTTTTGTGCCTTAATGTATTGGCTAGGACTTACAATACAACGTTGAATCGAAGAAGAAGGGATGACAAAGAGTGCCCTGGATATTTCTTTACTGTCCTCCCAGAAGGAGGGAGGTGGTCAGCTGGAACACACCCTTGCCTGCTGTGTATGGTCTGCTTGACCACTGTTTCTACATCTCCAGGCCATTTGCTCTCCAAAACAGTACCTATAAGAATCTCCTTATCATCCTCAATATTTCAACTTAATTAACATCTTGCCATAGATTCCTTAATTGACAACCCTATCTAAGTAGCATCCCTCTCTATCCTGGTGCAATGCACCACACCCCCTCATACATTTCTAACCATAATTATTATTTTTATTTAGTTAGTTGTTTATTATCTGCATCTCACACAAAATTTAAGCTCCTCACAAGCAAGAACTTTGCTTGTCTTCTTTATTAATGTATCTGGGGAGCCTAGCAGAGAACCTGCTGTTTAAACAAATGTCTAGCAGATGAATAAATATGCCTTTTAGAAAATACTTGTCCTGCTCAGAGGAGAAATCATAGACACTCCCTTTACTCCATACAGAGGAAGACAACGAGGAGAGGGGACACATTGCATAACCCTGAGCACATTGCTGCCAATCCTTAGGTATGAAAAGTGTGGATTTATGTCACACCTTTCCTCTAAAATGTTGCAGGTGTCATATGAAGAACAGGAAAAAGGATATGTGATCTGCTTCAAGATCAGAGCAGGAGAGAAGAGAACTGGTTAGGTCATTATTAGCCAGGATTCTCTAGAGGGACAGAATTAATAGGATAGATGTATATCTAAATTGAAGTTTATTAAGGAGTATTAGCTCACATGATCACAAGGTAAGGTCCAACAATAGTTCGTCCGCAAGCTGAAGAGCAAGGAAGCCAGTCCGAGTCCCAAAGCTGAAGAACTTGGAGTTGGATGTTTGAGGGGAGGAAGCATCCAGCATGGGAAAAAGGTGTAGGCTCGGAAGCTAAGCCAGTCTAGTCTCTCCACGTTCTTCTGCTTATTTTTATTCTGGCCAAGGTGGCAGCTAATTAAATGGTGCTCATCCAGATTGAGGGTGGGTCTGCCTTTCCCAGTCCACTGACTCAAACGTTAATCTTCTTCAGCAACACCCTCACAGACACACCCAGGAAAATACTTTGCATCCTTCAATCCAAAGATGGCGCTCAATATTAACCGTCACAGTCATGAAGGGACTTGAGGGTCAAGATATCATAGGATTTTGAATGAGGGACTCATAGAATTACATCTGGGCTTGAGAAGGTTGTGTTCAGCGGCCACGTGGACCAAATGTAGAGAGTTGAGAGTGGAAGCAGCATGCCAGTAAGAAGTCAATGCCTTGGTCCACTCAGTCCATTGGTCCAGGCTGTACTAAAATATCATAGCTCGGGGGGTTATCAACAACAGAAATTTACTTCTCACAGTTCTGGGGGTTAGGAAGTCTAAGATCAGGGTGTTGGAAAACTTGGAATCTAGGGAGGGTCTGCTTTCTGTTTCATAGATGGTTGCCTTCTCACTCTCGTCCTGTGGTGGAAGGGGCAAGGCAGCTTTCTGAGGTCTCTTCTCTAAGGGCACTAATCATGACCTAGTCACCCCCCAAGGGCTCCATCTCCTAACATCATTACATTGGTGATTAGGTTTTAACATACGAATTTGAGGGCACATAAACGTTTAGACGATAGCAGCCAACAACAAGAGTGAAAGGCAAGGAATAGTGATAGTGACAGTGGATGTGGAATCAAACGGAAATCATAAGAGAATCTGTGATCAGGTTAGCATGGGGGCCAAGAGAGCAGAGTAGAGTTAAACGTGTTGCTTAGTGTTAACAATTAAAAAGAAAACAAAAGTGCAAGGCTCAACTCATCCTAATCTAACGTACCCTCTTGACTTCCAGCACAATCTCCAAGCACAACTTGTTGGAAAATCAGGGCTGCCTTTTTGCAACTGTCCCTTGCTTCCTCACTGTTGGAAGTTCTCACAGAAGTCTAAATGAATCCCACATAATGTAAAGCAAAAGGAACAAATAGCTTACTTAAAACTCAGACCTTTTATTTTTTTAAGATTCAGGGAGTACATGTACAGGTTTGCCATGAGTGTATTGTGTGACGCTGATGTTTGGGCTTCTAATAATTTCAGCACCCAATTAGTAAACATAGTACCTGATAGGTAAAAATTCAGATTTTTAAAAAATAAAATGTTACTTTTCTTTATTTCTATCATCTTAGGAAAAGAGAAAACCTCAGTGGCTTTCTTTTTTCTTCACCACATTTGGGTTTTCTTTGGGGAAAAAGCTCAGGATAAAACTAGATCTGCATTAAGCACCTGTTTCTCTGCAAAGTCACAGACAGCTCTCTGCTTTAACAGCACTTTTTATTTTTTTTTGGTTCCCTCTTCAAGAGCATTTGGATAATAAAAGAAAAGGCCATTACCCTACACACACACCCACTACCAGCTGCATTGAGAACAGGAATGTGAATTCTGTCAAGTAGTTGGCAGAGGAAGCCCAGCTCCCAGCTCCAAGCAGCCACACCACAAATGGCGTCAACTTCAGGCTGTATTTTGTGTCCTCTCTGAGGTGAGTAGTTTGTTTTCAAACCATGTAGATGATACTAGGATTCAGGTTGGTTTTTCAGTGCTGTCTGCAGGGACTGAAGTTTCAAAATGAGGCAAAAGGGACTGTCTGAGGGTAGAGGGGGCCATGTGGGATTTTCAGAATCCTGTTGCCTCGTCTGGCACCAGTGGGCACAGCAAGGCTGGAGCATGGGGTCTCCCTGCCATGGATGCCCAAATAAAAGGATTCGGAGGGCAAAAAGTTGACTTCAAACTTTCCAACTTCATCAGCTTCCCATAGTATCTGGCAACCTCGAGTCTTTTCCAGCTCATATTAAAATGACTCTGCTTCTTTAAAGAGATGTAAAAATGAAGGTTGAGTGATGGAACATTACTCCTCAAAGAGGCTCATGAATTCCAGATGTACAGAAGAGTGTAGTGGGGAATAGGGAGGAGATGTCTAGTGTCTTTCTCCCAGTTCTGCCATGGATTTGCTGTGTGATCTGGGGAAATCCATATAACCTCTCTGATTTTTTGTTTCCTTATCTATAAAATGTGGGGATATGTAAAAATGATCTGTGCCATCCCTTTCAGAAAAATAGCAAAATAAAGACAAAACTGATTCTGTTATCTCTGCCATGCTGACATCTAGTTTCTACTTGAATGTTCCCAGTGACAGGGAGCTTGCTACAGTTTAAAATGACTCAGTTTGAGTGCTGGAGGTTTGTTTTTTGTATCTCTTCCTTTCTCTACTGTGTCAGTACAAAAGGAAATTCATTTCTGAAGGGACCATTTCTAGGATCAACACTAATGTATTAAAGTTCTAAAAATACCATATCACTTTAGTAAGAGCTACCCAGCATTTATTTACTTGCTGCCAGTTTCCTTGGAATTTTCTTAGCTTGACTCAAAATATTCATGCAAACCAAGCTATAAAGGAAGAGAAGGCAAAGGAAAACACCGTAGTTCTCTTTTTAATTTTTAATTTTTTCTACCTGAACAATGATAGTTTTTAAGGACAACATTTCTCACAGAATGGAAAAAAAATGAGAGCTAAAATTGCTGGTTATCTTCATCCAACTCTTCTTTTGATCCAGTAGAGAAACTAAAGACAAGATAAGTGATGTGACCTACCCAAGGTCACACAGCTGAGATTAAGCCCACATTTCTGGACTCCTAATTCTCAACATTTAAATCCATAGATGTTTTCCAAAGGGTGAACCACGAAACGGACTTTTTAAGCTACCAGAAGGTGGTTTTGGGGAGTCAGGTTCTATGGTCAAACGTATTTGGGAAATGCTAGTTTGTTTTGTTTTGTTTTATAGCATGGATTCTCAGAAATTTAAGTATGCTATATTGTTGGGACACAGTCAGGAAAGCAGTAACCGCTGTAGATTTCTAGCAGAAAAATATTTAATGCAGGCGATTGGGAGCTTACAACTTTACTGGAAGGCCTGAAGTTGCAAAGATCAGGTAAAGCCACCATTAGATCCAAAGAGCACCACAGTTAGGAAGTTGCTGTTGCTATCACTAGTGTCTCCAGACCTGAGGTAACTAATATTCAGGAGAATGTCTGGAAAGGAAATGAAAACATTGCATCTAACAAATCTCAGAGGTGCTCCAGCCGCTTGCTGGAGAAACAACAGTAGATCTCTTCCTTTTGCCTTTTATTTTTCGTGTAAGTGCTTCTCCATTGGCAGCATCTAGTCGGAACTCTGTTCCCCCTGGAATCTTAGTAATGTAGTTATCAGGCTTCTAGCCCCTAGAATGCAGTAGAGATCACAGAAGAGAGTGGTCTATTTTGTTTATTGTTGTTTTTGGAAATGATATCCTCACTCAATTTGAGGTCCCCACTGGAAGCCTGTCAGTTCCCTTTCTTGAGCAACTGATTAAGCCCACACTCAAACCATTTTCCTTATTGGGCTCTCACACTGAAAACCGCTATGCACTCACCCAAATAGCCTGGGGCCAGAACTCAGACAATTAGGGACAGTCTCTATGCACTGGAGTCCACAAAATTATTCAAATTAGCCAATTCACAGGAAGCCTGTGAAACCCTGCTTGCCATACACCAGACATAAATTTCTCTCTGCATCTCCAGTTTGCTGTTATCCTATCCCCGGGTGCAACTCCCTGTGTGGCCCTGCGTGGCAGCCTTCTCTCCTTCAGAGATGTAAGTAACTAAGAGTTCTGCCCTTCATTTAGCTGAATATATTTGTTTTGTGCCCACCATTAAAGAATTTTTGGATTTTATAAAGTAGGGGGCAGGAATGGAGCAGAGTTACTACAATCAATCTAGTGCATCTAATAATGAGCATTGAAGCTGTCCAGTGGAGATACGGTATTTAGTGTTTCTGAAACTTCTTTAACCACATGTCTTCATTTTCAGAGGCAACACTTACTGATATATGTCAGAAAGTATCAAGGTTTCATGAAACTTATTTGGGGCATTATTGTTTAAATTATAATTTCAAGGGTTCATATACTTTGAAGGCCCTATGACCCAGGAGGAAGCAGGACTGGTGATGTAGTGGCCTGGGCTATATTATCAGGGCATTCATGATCACCACAGCATTATAGTGTAATCCATAGTACAGTTGCCATTGTACTATGGATTATACTGTACATAAAGATTATTATTCTGCCTAGATAGTCCCAGCTGGTAGATATGTACAGGACTTACCGAACTCATATTTCTGTAATCAAAGCCAACTTCTTCTTTGTTTCCTATCCAAATCCTAGTTGATTATCAATATCCAACTCAAGTCCTTTCTCTTCAACAGGAAATTCAATGATTAGCTCAGTTTTCTCTCATCTCTTCATTCTCTGAAATCTTGACACGCTGTCAGCTCTTGTCACAAATCTGCCTGTGACATCTCTTGTACTACTTCCTTGCTCTATTTAACAGCTCTTCTTTTATCCCCAGCTGCATTGTAATCTTCTCAAAGGAAGCTTGGATGCTGCTGGGCACCTCCTTAAACGTTTAGAGCAATGCTAAGCACATAATGGGTACACAGATAATTGTGGGCAGGATGAATTAATTAGTTGGCCACTTCAGTTTCTAATACGAGGATTTTCTGTTATCGTTTGGTGTTGTTTTCGAATTTTAGTTGAAGCAGGACCTAGCTTGCATGTGGGTATATTTGCTCATGCAGATGAGAGCAAAAGCAGAGTTCCATAAAAACTACTATTATCAAGTGGTAGAAGTGATTTTCCTTACGTAACATTTCTTAGCTATTTTGGTGTTCTTAAACCATGAAGAGCAATGTGACACTTACAAAGTCCTAAGTGACTTTCTTCCTTCCAAGAATTATTTCAGGCTTGGGTTCCCAGCAATTCAGAGGCAATTTCTATTTCTGCCATGTTCATACCTTGCATCTTTATAGCCTTTAAATTTTTTTAAAATGTATATGGCCTATTTATCTTCCAACAATGATTCTTATGATCTGGGTAGAGCTAACACAATATTATTGTCCTTATTTAACCATTGAAGAAACTGAGGGGCAGAGATTCCATCTAATAGGTGGCAAAATCTGGACTTGAAACAAAATCTGTCTCCCAATTTATAGCTCTTTCTAATGTGTTCCAAAGTAAAGAGAAGTGTAAGAATGTATGTATGCATGTATGTATGTTATATATGCATGAAATGCATGTATGCATTGTTTTGTTAATCAGATAAAGGAAGGAATTTAAATTTTGAAATACCCAATTTTTTTCTCCTCATAAGTTTTCCAGTAGAAAGATAACCATACACGCAATTCCCAAACTGATTTTTATCCCCACATACAAAAATAATAAAATAAAAAGGTCTCTCCACTATGTCCCCAAAATCACTTCTAGAAATTTCACAGCTTGCAGGCTGCCTTGGACTACTCATTTGCCATAACAAAATACCATAGACGGAGTAACTTAAATAATAGAAGTGTATTGTTTCACAGTTCTAGATGCTAGAAGAACAAGATCAAGGTGACAGCATAGTTGGTTTCTGGTGAGGCCTCTCTTTCTGGTTTATAGTTGGCTGCCTTTTTCTGTGTCCTCACGTGGTGGGAGGTAAGGGTTGAGGCAGAGAGAGCCAGCTCTCTGGTGTCTCTTCTTATAAGGACAGTAATCCTAACACAGTCACAAAGGGATAATGACCCACACACTCATGACCTCATCTAAACTTAATTATCTCCCCAGGGCCCTGTCACCAAATACCATCACACTGGGGATTAGTGTTTCAACATACAAATTTTGGGGAGACACAAGTCAGCCCATAGCATTCTAGCTCTGCCTTTTTTTTTTTTTTTTTTTTTTTTTTTTTTTTTGACAGAGTCTCACTCTGTTTCCAGATTGGAGTGCAGTAGCGTTATCTCGGCTCACTGCAACCTCCACCTACCAGGTTTAAGTGATTCTCCTGCCTCAGCCTCCCGAGTAGCTGGGACTACAGATGTGCACCACCAAGCCAAGTTAATTTTTCTGTTTTTAGTAGAGATGAGGTTTCGCCGTGTTGAAAGGGATGGTCTCGATCTCTTGAACTCGTGATCCACCTGCCTCGGTCTCCCAAAGTGCTGGGATTACAGGTGTGAGCTACCATGACCAGCCTTCCATTTTGACAACCCCATACCAGCATTAACTCTAAAATCTAAAGTTTAAAGTCTTATTTAAATATCACATAAATCAGATGGGGGTGAGACTCAAGATACAATTCATCCTGAGGCCAAATTCCTCTCCAGCTGTGAACCTGTGAAACCTGACAAGTTACATGCTTTCGAAATGTAATCATGGGACAGGCATAGGATAAACTTTCACATTCAAAAAGAAAGGTAGCAGAAGTTCCCAATCAAATCCAAAACCTAGCATGTCAAATTCCATTAGATCTTAAGGCTCAAGAATAATTCTCTTTGGCTCTGTGTCTCACCTTCCAGGCTCACTGGCATGTCAATGCCACCCCATAGCTCTAGGTAGGGGTCCTGTCTCCTCAGCTCTGTCCCCAAGGCTCCAGGTGGAGGGCCTCTGCCTGTTGAAATGGAGGTGGTAGCCCTG